ATATATATATATATATATATATATATATATATATATATATATATATATATATATATAATAATCATATAAATGACCGATTGTGATTTTGACTGTGTGACCGGCTCAGTCGAATCATTAAAAAGATCAGACTCAAAAGAACAACACTACTTTATGATCGCAGTCTTAATCCGGACTCAAGCAAGTTTTATTTGGGACGTGGCTGAGAGATTTGTTTACACCGATTCTTTGAGCCACCGTCCCAGTGTTTTCCCTCTGACGGGGCAACACTCCAAGACTACATTTCCCATGATGCAATGCTCTTTATTCTCCGTCTTGGCCGACTTCTCCCTGCCTCCACAGGCCAGAGGAGGCTGAGTTTAGGGAAAGTATCGACGTTTATGCATGTCAATCAGCAGGAGCCGTGGGGAGTGAAACTGGAGGGAAGGTCGACGATCGGGACGGATTTCTAGTCCAAAAAGCACTTCAGTGCTAATGCGACCATAATGTTTTGGAAAAATAAGGAAAAACTATATATATTTTCAAGGAAACTGTTTTGGTTTACTTTGAAATAAGGTAATCAAGCAAAGCTTTCACTACGCCGAACTTGGCGAGTATCACTCGCTGCCTCGTTGCATTTCAGCTGGAAAACAGCGGATTATTTACACAGACAAAGTGTGCCAACTAAAAGAGGGCTCAACTACAGACGGCTATTGCTGTGTTTGATATATTCCTTTCGCCAGAAGAGAGGACTTCATCCAGAGGAGTTTGTGTCGCTGTCGGGGAGCTCTTCCCTGTGGACGTGCTGGAAACCAGGAGGAGTGACGGTATTTGTGTTTGTTTCAATAAACGCACTGAAAACACTTGGGCGCAACTTCCACCTCATGCTTTGGGACTTTGGTTTCATATGTTGCAGGTTGGAACACGAAGCTTAAAGCGCGTATTTTCCTGGAAGGTAAGAAGAAAATGAGCGGAGGAGAAGTGGTGTGCTCGGGGTGGCTCAGAAAGTCTCCACCTGAAAAAAAGTTACGGCGTTATGTGAGTAACGTTTTAATCTTATTCAAATGCACTGACAGTGTTGTAACCGCAGGACTGTTGGGGCAAGATTCATGCAAATTTAGGGTAGGATTTCCAACAACCGCAGGTCAATCACTGCTCGCGATCTGTCGGTTAAGTTTTTTTTTATTCGTTCAAAAAAATGCTGACGATCCAGGAATAGTTTGAAAACGGGATCGGCTCCTCAGAACTCTGTGATTGAGTGTGTGAACGCTGTCTGTGTGTTCATAGCACTGAAATGGATGTGAAATTCGCATGTGCAAAATCCTTATTTGTGGCGTCTTGATCGGTTCTTTAGGACACACCTACCGGTGTTGGGAGAGAACTTTTTTTTTTGTTTAGTTTTTTAAAGGAGCATTAAGTGTTTTTTTTTTTCTGATTAAAAGCTTTACACTCAAATTAAGAGCATTTTTGAGAAATATCACTTAATAATGTACACTGAGACTCTCACATGCCAGTTTTGTAGAAAAGGCTATTTTCTTCTACATGGAGTGGGTCGCCCCCTCATGGGCTGCGCCATGTTGACATCACGTGACATAGTTGATCAAGGTACAGAATAATAATAACAACAAAAATCGTGTTTGCTTAATATAGCACTTTTAGCTAGAGGTTAGGGTGTAAACATACAAGTAGGCCTGCATATAAATAGTTACAAGCGCAAACAGAACACAAGGATGGTCACTCAAAGCAGACAGAGAACTTGTGGTAGTCTTGTCAGTGAGGTGCAGCAACTAGCCACCAATAACAGGCCAAGAATCTTTGGAATTGAATCCAAGAATGTCCATAAGTGGATGCATGTTGTATGAGATGGGGGAAACATAGACAAAAAGGAACAAAACAAAGTGTAAGAAACAGAACAAACTTCATGCATCCATTGCAATAGGAGTCAGTACAAGTCCAAAGTGTCTGGTACAGTTGGAAACGATAAGAGCCAGCTGTGCATAAACCTTAGTGATGTTTATTGTTTTAATGGAATGTGGCTTGACCCGCAGAGACACCACTATCATACATCGAAATCTAAACATGTTTATGTTCAGTTAACTCGTGCAAAAGTTGTTAGCAACATTCTTTTATGCAAGAAACTGTGACAGTAATTTGTTGGCAGTAGGCATGGCTCTTTTGAAATCTAATGACAACCTTTAAGTGTGGTTCAAGCCGAAAGCTATTGTTTATATGCATCAAGGTTGCAGAAAACAGTGCTGGTATGGATAGATTAAATTGGAATTTATT